CAAAGCAAGAACTGTTGAGAGGCACGCAGGTGCACCCCTGCCTCCCGCACCCCAAATTCATCCTCTGCTGCAGACTCCAGCAACATCAGGTGAAAGGGGAGGCGCAAGCCCACGTAGAAGCCGGGATGTGCAGGGCAGGGAGAGGCTGATGGGGAGAGGGATGGGGGCATCGAGCTTTTAATATTTGGAGCTCATTCTCTTCCCCTTCTCATTTCTCAGTAGCAACCCAGCCAGGGAACTGATGCACCAAAGACCTGAGCAGTGAGGGGGGAAAGCAGACATGTCGCGGTGCCACTGTCCTGCTCGGGCTGCTGTGCCCCTCGCACTGTGCCTGCCTCCCGTGGGAGAGCGGCGGACGGTCAGGGCCTGATCCTGCAGTGGTTTAAGCACATGGGTGCTTGGGTCCATCTGCAGAGCCTCCCCGCTGCCCGCTGCCAAGCGTCCGAGAGCGCAGAGCCGGACTCTGCGGCCACGGAGGGGCCTTCCTCGCTGCCCGCTTCAAGCTGCACCCCAAAATGCATGCCGGAATACACAGCTCCCCCCTTCCCTGAGCTTCCCAGGAATAACTGGGGACCGCTCAGCCTTTGGGGTCACCGCTTACAGCTTCTCCCCTCTTCCAGCATCAGCCATTGGGGCCGGCTCCAGCCCTCCTCCTCCCGCATGGCCCCCGCAGCCCCCGGGCAGCCTGGGCTCAGCCCCGCATCCCTCGCACCGGCGAGTCACCCCGAGTGCCGCGGGGACCGAGAGGGGCCGAAGGAAGCGGGAGGGAAGGAGGGAGCTGGCTGCATGCGACACCCCGACCCACGGGCAGCGAAGGAGGAGCACAGGGTCCGGGATGGACCGGGGAGGGGGAGGCTGAGACCAGAGCACCCTTGGAGCGGAGCTCCCAAATCCCCCTCTCCGAAGAACAAAGCTGCAATCTCTCTGCAGATGCAGAATAACCGACGAGCAACGATGATTTATTTCTCTTCCCCAGTAGATAAATCGGCCTCGGAAACAGGTTTGCGCTAAATTGCAATTTGCATGCAGTAATATATTTAAGCAACTTTCCTTCTACTTCGTTATAAACAGGGTTTCTCTGGGGGTTATTTCTGAGCTGGCCCCGTTTCATTTATCTCCGGCACACCCGGCGCAAGCGAGCTTAATTGTCGACGTGGAAATTAAAACCACAGTGGAAAAAAAAAAAAAAAATTAATAAAATGAAGGTGCTGGTTTTGTAGGTAGCCTGAGGAACCCCGGGTTGGAATCAAAATAATCACCCCGGCTCAGGCACTAGCTCTGGGCCTCAATAAAAATGATTAAAGACAAAACCCCACTGAAATTTCCACTCCACAGCCGCGTTTGGCTTCCAGCCGCTCTCCCCCTTACAAAGGCACCAGGGCCAGTGCCTCGGGGAGGCCGGCGGCCGCCGAGCCCCTCTCCTGCCGGGAGGGCAGGGCTCTTCTCCCGGAGAATAGCGAGCGGGTTTTTACATTCGGTTCTCTAGCTTTATGATATCACATACACTCATACAGCTAGATAACCAAAGAGAAAAACCAACCCAGGTCTTTACAAAACGGGCCTTAGCCGCGTCGCACGCCCGGGGGTGTTCTGCTCCAACGTCGGAGCCCCCCGGGGTGGCTGCGATTTGTGTCCCCTCGCCGCCAATAATGAAGAAACCCCAACAGTTTCGGTGGGAGAGCGGGAATCTGCCCCGGCGCCTTGGGATGCGACATGCAACATCAGCGCTTCCCGATGCCCACCCGAGCGCCCCGACTTGATGTCTGCACCCCAAAGGGGACCCGTACCCTAAAGTGGGCTCAGCCCCGCGCAGCCCCCCATGGCCGGGGGCCATCGCAGAGCAGGATGCTCCTCCAGGATCCATCCCCGCCGCCTGCGGCCCAGGGACCTGCCTCCTTCCCAGCCCCAAATTCGCCCCCAGACTCGCCCCAGAGCCCGCTCCCACTTTGTAATTACTGTAAATTACTGGCACGGAACTGCTGAGTCATGAGAGCGGCTGGGGAAGGGACGGGCCCAACCGAAAGGGCCCCCCCGGGAGTTTCCGCCGCGCTCCCGCTCTGCTCTCCTCTTCCTCCTCTTCCTCCCCTTCCTCCCCTTCCTCTCATGTCCGCTCCCTCCCGCCGGGCCCGCATCCCCGGGAAGGACCCCGCATATCCTGGGGGTAACCGGGCGGTCAGTCTCCCCCGGGGGGGCTGTTGGAGGGACACCCTGCATTCCCCGGGGCGACCCCGTCCTCGCCCGCAGGGACCCCGCACCCCGGCCGGGAGCCTCCGGGCACCGGCCCCGAGCACCGGCCGGGAGATGCTCCCGGGGAGCTGCCCAAGCCGGAGCGGGGGGAGCTCCGGTCGTGCGGCTGCTCGGAGGGAAACTCGGTGGAGCTGCTGTCCCCGGGAACGGGGAGAGGACGGGGAGGGGACCCCGGGAAAAGAGGGGGGTACCGGGGAAGGGGTACCTGCTCGCCCCGCTGGGGCCGGTGCTCCCCGCGGTCGCCGTCGCCTCCGGGTCGCCGCATCCTTCCCAGGCTGGCAGGGTAGGGAGAAGGTTCGGCCGGGGATGGAGGTTGGATACCCCCGCCCGGGGCCGGTACCGGTACCGGTGCGGATCCCTCTCCCTCTTCCCGGCTTCTCCGGG